CTAAATAATATTTAATATAAATATCACTAGTCCTATTATAATATTTAATATTATAACTATATAGATCATATTATATATTATCCTAATATATAAAAGTATATTAATATTATAGTAATAATTAATGATTAAAATATAAAATATTAATATTAATTACTATAATTCGAAATAATATTAAGTTAATGTACTAATAATATAATTTATACTAAATTATTATATAGGTATAAATGTAAATTATTAAATATATTAAGGACTAAATAAGGTATTTATCCTAAAATATATATTCATATGCAACAATGATCAAAATATAAATAAATAAAATTAAAGGAAAAAATTAAAATGTATGAAACATGCTTTCGATGACTAAATTGAAAATTTACAAAATTATAGGGACCATATGCATAATTTCCCCATACCCGAATTTACGCACATATCCCTCCCCAAAACGACATCGTTCGGGGAGGGGTATAAATATGCCATATTAGGCCTGAAGAGGCTTAAAGCCTCATTTATACTTCTCACTAGAATTACTTCATCGGAGGGAATTCGTCCTAGACCGACAGCCGATTGTCGTTGTATCTCGCCGTTGCCGGCCACCACATACGGTGGTCGAAAAATACCAAACTACCAAAAAATATTCCTATCTTTCTCCTAAAGCCTAAACCGAGAGCTATTTACCCTAAAAATCCCTCTATCAGAGCAGATCTAAGGTTTATAGCTTCGGTGTTTTCTCTTCTCCGGTGGCGCGCAGAGGCGCGTAGATGCTCTGACAATGGTAAGGCTTCCTTCTCTCTCTTCTAACTATTTTTCTGGTTTGTTTGTTGTGTATTGGGTGCTTGCTTGCTCTATTTTCTCGTTGTTTCTTCTCTTGTAGGATCGCTCTATTTATAGGGGTTTTCGAAGCTCCCTTTGGACTGGTTAAAAGGTTATACCCCGGTGAGTCACCGGAGATATGGTGGTAACTCACCCTAGGGGTGGTGAGTTGTGCGGTGGAGGGACTGGGTGCATTAAATTCACCCAGATCATGTAGATATGGCGAGGACGTGGCAGCGTCGTGGCATGCGTTGGTTGGATCATTCGACGGCGGAGGCATCATCACTTCTATGGCGGTGCCGGAATAACCCTAGGGTTACAATGAGTACCCTAGGTTTTTCTGGTTACACTAGTGACCGTTAGATCTGTCTCTGGATCAGATAGTGGAAACAAGCTGGCAGCTGGAGAGACATGCGTGAAACCCTAATCGCTTTTAGATCTACTACTGGGCTTGAACCGGGTCTTGATCTGCTGGGAGTTGGTTGTAATTGGGCTTCAGGTTGTAATTGGGCTTCGGCTTGTAATCAGGGCTTTACATTTGGTCCTGTAAATAGGGATGGCAAAAAAAACCTGAATCCGACGGGAAAAATTGAAAACCGAATTAAACGGGGACGGGGAAAAACCGTTTATGTTAAACGGGAATGGGGACGGGTTTAGTAATCCCCGCCCCGATTACCCGATTACCCAGCCCGATAAATATTAAAAATAATTATTATATATATATATATATATTAATAAATTTAAATTAAATTAAAAAATATATGTATATATTTAATTTAAATATATATACCCAGCCCAATACCCATTTAAATAACCGTTTATGCTAAACGGGTATACCCGTTTCCCTGCGGTTTTCTCCGATTACCCGATGGGGATCCCCATTTAAATCCTTGTGGTTTTTTAAGCGGGGACGGGTACGGATTTTTTAAATGGGGACGGGGATGGGGGTACCAATACCCGGCCCGAACCTGGCCCGTTGCCATCCCTACCTGTAAAACTGTAACTATTAATAGTAATATAATACAAGAATAATATAATTATAATTATAATAATATAATTATATCAAAATCAAATTCGAACGAAAACGATTGTCGACCATGACAAACAAATAAAGCTAAAGTAGATACTCTAATTTAGTCTTCAATTGATCTTCTAAAGTCGAAAGGAAGATTGACTGTTTAAAATGAAGTTCTTGATCAATCCCCTTTAATCAAGCCAACATCTTCCTTTTACGGTCCTTAATCATGCCAAACACTAAGGAATTCCACTACATCAATTTGTCTTATAGAAAAAACAAGATTAATGCTTACTTCATGGTCATTGGAACAAACTTCTTAGAGAACAAATTTAAAACTCGGGTGATGTTGCCAATCAAATAGAAACTGAAAAGATTTTACGCCCAATAGATTAGTTGGCCAACTTCATACGCATTAATAATGATCGACGGTTAGAACCACGATGGTCAAGGTAGAAAATAGTAGAATCTGGATAAGCAGAAAGGCAACATGAGTTAACATGATAACGATCTAGTCATTGATTTAAGGAACCACAAGACCAAGTAAAGGGTGAGCCTTAAAATCCAAGAGCAAAGAAACCACGATAATCCACAAAGTTAGCAAAATCCCGACGAGCGCCAACACGCCCAGCAACACCCCTCAATCGTTTAGCAAGGCTAAGAATGACATTAAAATCACCGCCCAAAAGCCATGTGCAATTTTTCCCCAGGTTAAGCTTCTCAAGCTAAACCCAAATATGTTTTCGGAGGAGGATGTTTGTACTAGCATACACTATTGTAATATAGACCGGTCTTACAAATCCAGTCCTCAGACATAATAATGGACATATTGGTTGTTAATTTCTAGAATATCAACCTTTAACTCATCTTTTCAAAGCAACCAAATGCTACCACTGAATCCCTAAGCTTCAACATAAAAAGAACTGGAAAAACCAAATTTAGAGTTTTTTTTTACTTAGGTTAAGCTTCTACTTTAGCATTTTTAAAATCATATTTAAATTTATTTTAGCATATTTTACATCATTTGCATATTGGGAATGAATTTTTGGAACTTGGGTTGATTTTATTGTTTTTGTTGTAAATTGATATACTGATGCTGTGACATTCTTAATTTTGTAGTCGTTACTTTGCGCCAATGCTGAACTGGATTGTCAAGACGACTCTATAGCAATTGTTGAGTCACAAGGCAATTAGAGAAATTTTAGGAATTGATAGATCTGCAAGAAAAAGGCTGGAATTTGAATTTTAAAAAGGAATTTTCAGAAAAATGGATTTTCCTATTGGTGGAAAGTTTGACTTTGATGAGCTATAAATATAATTTTTCACACATTTTATTCATCCTTGGAAATCTTAATTTTCAAAGTCGCTTTTTATTTTTCTCTTCTACCACCACCATGGCAACCTAAAAACTTTTGGGAAAACAACACTTGAACATGGAACAAGCAAAAACCATGGCAATAGTGGCCGATGATCGATTGAGAGTCATCTTAGCAATTTAAATCAAACATGTGAAGGGGGATTTATATTTTTTTAGAGGATTTATTTTTATTTTATGATGAGATGTTAAACTTGGATTTTTTATTTAGAATATATTTGAGAAATTTCATGTTTATTCACTTTGCCTTAGTATCATCGATTGGTGTTGCTTGAGTTTAATTTTTAGTTTGTTTGTAGAGATATAAACTGCCCAATAATACTACAATAGTAGGTTACATCATATATAACATCAATGTCTGTGAGAGCAACATTTAGCATAAAATAGATTTTTGCTGATTGTTTTTTCGTAGCATTCTTAGTACACTTATTTGAATTGCTATAGAGATATAATCTTTCTTGTAAGTAGTTAATATTTCAAGAGAAGAAGAACTAGTTAGGTTGATGCTAAACACATCTATCATGTTGCTACAACAATGTTAATTGCATGATGCCATTTGACATTTCAATCTTTTACCTAAATCGATCATTTCTTCATTTACTTGTGTTATAATCCCATTTATTCTATTTTGTTTTCAATTATATTGCTACAAGATTGCTCCCTACATCAACAATACACTATTTTACGTTTGTTGCATAACAATCACTACAAGAAAATAAACCTTTAATGACACACGCTAATTTACGACTTGCAAAAAATGTGTCATAAAAAAATGTCATGTTTCTTAAAATCTGAATGATTTATGACTTACAATAATGTGTGTCATATTTAATAGTCATAATCCAAAAACATTTCAAAAACACGGAGTACACTTTTAATCGTATCATCTGTAAAAGTTGTCTTTTAATTCCCCCCATAATTCTCATCCTTTCCCGCTTCTTCCCCCTCATCATCAGTTCACACTTTTGCATTCATGTTACCAAGAAACACGATATTGAGAGGTCAGATGGAGAATGTTTCTTCCCCAAAACCTACCCCTCCAATATCCAAACGAAAGCACCCAAAATCATCTAAGGAGGACCAATTGGCTCGCTTCAAAGTGGTCAGTACTCTTTCTCGTCTTTTAATTTGATGGTATTTCAACGAAATATTGGAAATTCTTTGGTGTCCTGACTTTGCTCGGGGAAAACCACAACATTGTGGAGATAAGAAGAAAGAAGATGAGATGATTCCCTTGCTTTAATCCTTGTTCTAAAGATTCAAGGATCGACATTGACAATGGAAGTCAAACCACTTCTCGCCATTCCACTGATTCCTCAGGTTCCCTTTTCATTTCCCTTTTTCTCATTACTTTTTCGTACAATCTTGCTTATCTGTTAGCTTGTTCTTCATTTTTGTAACCAGTTTCCTACGCTACGAGAAGAAAGGCAATTCTAGAAGGTAATGTTAAGGATTCTAACACCAAATTTCTCGGGAAACTTTCTTCTTTCCTAGTGGATTTGATTTTTAGTTTGTTCGAAATTTTGGTAACATACATAAGAAAGGAAGTGATCAGGGACATGGCTCCGAAGGCAATGGGGCGCATAGTTTCACATTCTGGGAGTTAGCAACGGCAACAAGGAATTTTAGGGAAACCAATGTGCTTGGGGAAGGAGGATTCAGAAGAGTTTTCAAAGGTCGATTGGAAAATGGGAGGTAAATTTTCTGCTTTTCTTTTTAATTTCATGTATATGTTTTGTCATATTTCCTGCATCTGTTTTCTATATCAGTTATTGTGTAACTTTTGAAATATGTGGCTTTTGTTTGACAAGAGGATCTCCCAGGAGGTTGCTGGAGATGCTTTGGGCGAGGTATGTGGCTAACTATTTTCATTTTTTTATATATTTTTGAAGTAATGATTGATCTGTTCGAGTTAATAGAAATTTCCACTGGATTTGATAGGAATTCAAGGGCTACGTTTTCAAGATCATGGGAGGTTGCGACAAGCAAGAGTTTCCAATGAAGCAGGGTGTTCTAACTCCTGGCCGTGTACGTCTTTTGCTGCATAGAGGTGAGCTTGCTGCTGATCATTGTAAAATATATTTCTATGATTAGGGTAAGTATTTGATTGAGTTGAGTTGTATTAAAAAAATGAGTAGTTGAGTTTATGAGTCTTATTTTGTCAGTCGAGATTAATTTGAAATTTTATCAAATGGAGTTGAATAAATTTTACTGAATCGATGAAGCACCAATGTGACCTATGTATTACGTTAAGACTTAGTGCTTCATTAAGCTTCTGTGGATTGGGATTTTGGTTTGTAAGCCTTCATAAAGTCTTCCTCTTCAGAATGAGGAGTTGATTCATTTATATTGTTTAAGAGCAGGTACCCCATGTTTCCGTGGATATGGAAGACGTAATGGTGAACGCAGAAGGAAGTCTGCTCGTGGATGCATTGTCAGCCAAGACCTGTCTGTTTTAAACTTGGTTATAGTGAAGAAGGGAGAAAATGATTTGCCCGGGCTTACTGACACTGAAAAACCGAGGATGAGAGGTCCAAAGAGAGCATCCAAGATCAGAAAGCTGTTTAACCTTTCTAAGGAAGATGATGTCCGGATGTATGTCAACACTTACAGGAGGACTTTCACCACAAAATATGGTAAAGTTTCTTTTTCTTCCTTAGATGATCTCTATATATAAGCAACCATGTTGATGATTTATGTTATGTTGGCTACTCGAGCATTATCCAATTATATTCTTAATGTTAAACTGTCTACTTCGACCTGTCAATGCTGACTCAAACCCAAAAAACTTGGATCTGTATCTAACTTGATCCGATTTTGTCTTAAATTGTCATTACCTGAACCCAAAAATGTTAGAAACCAAAATGATCAAAACCTGAAATGACTTGTACTTGGAATCACCTAATTCCAAAATAATCAGAACTTGAATTGTACCTTCTTCAGCATAAACACAGCGCTTAATGTGCACAATATGTTGAGATTTTCTTAGATGTTTTTCATGACGGGATGTATTGTTAAAATTCATGCATGTATTGCATTTGCAAGCCTCAGTCACCCACTAGTGGCAATTTCATTATCGAACATTTAGTTATTGATCAGTAGAGTTTTATGGGATTTCAAAAGTAAGAAGGTCAGTAAAGCTCTAAAAATCCAGCGGCTGGTGACTCCATTGACACTTCAGAGGAAGCCAACTAGAATTGCAGATAAGAAGAAGAGAATCGCCAAGGAAAAATCAGAGGTAGCTGAGTACCAGAAACTGGTTGCCACGAGGCTGAAGGAGCAGCGAGAGCGCCATAGTGAGAGTTTAGCCAGGAGGAGGTCCAAGCTCTCTGCTGCTTCTAAGCTTTCTGTTGTTGCTTATATTGCCTTCGAAGTTTCAGTGAACAATGGAAATGGTTAGTACTCAACTTTTTTGATGTTATAAGCTGAGAAATTTTGCTTATTTTTCAATATATTCTGTAATAATGCTTCGAATGCTGAAAGAGATAATCGAGAACGGACTTGAAGTGCTGGTCAATAAGAATGTAAGCAAACTTTTCTGATACACATCTGTCATATCATACATACACATTAGTCATACAACTATCATATGGACTAGTATATTTTCTTGTAGAATAAAGAATACAACTATCATACATAAATATTTCTTGTATCATATACACATCTGCCATATCATACATACACATTCTTCTGTCTCAACAATATATGCAAATGCAACTAGCTGTAGGAATGCCAATTAAGTTTGTCACAATAAAATGTGTTTTTTTGGTTACATTGTCCTCATTTCCAGAACTTAGTGATCTCTTTATGACCTGAAACTAAAGATCCATTGTGTTTTTTTTGGGCTTTGTATTTTACGTACAGAGGCGAAATATAAATTTGAGAGCATAGATGTTATTTTTCTATGCAAGCTTCATCTTCCATTGTTTTGCCTAGTTTTGTAATGCATTTTTCTCTCCCTCAATCTTGCCATGCAGGTTGTAGCTCCTGTCAAAATGACATTTGAAATGTAAGTGTTATTCTTTATCTAAAATAGCTGTTATTATTTTCAATTACTGCTTAGCTACAGTATCGATTTTCTCTTTCCTAAACAAATGTTCTCGGTGTTGTAGATATGCAACATGTGTAATACCTATAAGTGCCTTCTTGCATCAAGTCTTTGGTAAGTATTTAACTGTGGTATAACTGGAATTTGTGTTTGGTGTGTGGTGTAGTGTTTTCCTTATTATGGTGCGGTTTGTGTTGTGTAATGAGTTACTTCTAACAGCAAAAAGTACATACTGCTTGAAAACCCTGCCGAGACTGAAAGCAGAGTATTACTTGTTGCTTGTTTCAGACTCTTTTTTGTTTTAAGTATAATATTGTTCCTCAATGATCTGTCTGTTTTCCTATCCTAATGGTTGTTAAAGAGTTACTGCACCCAAGTTGGTAGGTTGATTTGAGTTTGTGAAAAATCTCAACTAAATAAACCTGGATAATTATTGTTAAGCTCAAATCAAGTATAGATGCAGTAGCAGTACCTGCTACATGTATTGTTTTATCTTTTATTTTGTTTGGTGTACATGTATTGTACCTGCTTATTATGTACTGGCTGTGAAAAATTTTTGACATATTTTTTTTATTTTGCTTACCATTTGTTGATATTGTTTTTGCATATTCTAAGCATCCTCATTTTTTGTTGTCAATACAGGTTTGACAACACTGCCTATTTGCACATATCTGTGGCTTTTATCCAGATGCTCAAATCTCCAAGTATGTGGAAACAAAGTACATTATTGTATATATATAATGGTTATATGTTCTTTCTCAATGTCGTATTTTCTTTGTTTTCTTTGACTAATCGTTTATTGTAAACTATTTGTAGTATGAATATATTGTATACAAATGGATTGCTTATATATAATATGATATATATATTTAGTATTATGAGACATTAAATGTGATTTAGTTTGATTATTTGTTAATCTACAATATATATATATAATTTATGAAATACAATCACGACACACGGATGTAAGTCATACAAATGTGTGTCATCTTCATTTATGACGGGTGTTTCAATGACACGCAATGTAAGTCATACATGCGTGTCATAAATTTATGACACACAAATGCGTGTCAAGCAGGGGCTTCAATGACGCTCAATGAACGTCATAAATGTGCGTCATAAATGTGTTTCATAAATGTGCGTCATAGATTTATGACACAAAATTGCGTATCATCTAAAATTCATGTCAGTGGCTTCAACGACAGTCATTTGTGTGTCATCCGCACCCATAGATGACGCGCAATGCGCGTCAATAAAGGGGTTTTTTATACTAGTGAATTCTGTGAAGTAATTCTAATCTTCTTGGATATGATATTCGGCGCACTTGTTGCATCCACTTTTACTACTTGATAAATGATAGTGTATGCTTGTACCGATTTTTGTTACATTATTCGAAGCATCAAGTTTTTGGCACAGTTGTCAGGGATTAGTGTCATTAAATTTAGAGTTGCTTTTTATTTACTAACTTTGCTTTTACTTTTTGTAGATAACTTTATCAGGACGTTGCTGGTGCATAACCCACCACAATAACTAGGACTTAATATCGTTTGATCTAGAGATAAAGAGAACTTTTTGATCAAAGGAGATAACAAAATCAAGAACATCCATACATGAATCATAATGTTGTGGGCAATAATGGTAAATTACCATTGCCGATTGAGGATAATGAAAATCATCCTAACAACAATGGGCAAAATGAAGAAACGATTCCACCCTTGCAAAATGAACTGATATGACCACATACCATAATATTGATGACAAAACTAGACCAATCTGAGAGCACATTGTGCCCATTCTAGATGACTTAAATCCCAACATTGTTTAGCTGACAAAACTTGGAGTTGAAGCCAGTGATGTTCCAAATGCTGCAATAAATGGGGATGTATTGTGGGATGCACACCAAGGAACCCCAAGTACACTTGTGATCATTTATAGAAGTTTGCAACTCATTTATATAAAAAGGAGTGCACGAGGAGGACTTGAAGCTAAAATTATTTCCGTACTCGTTTTGCGGAAAAGCCAAGGCATGGCTCAATACGCTACCACCTGGTTTTATAGGATCTTAAAACGAACTTGCCTAAAATTTTTTGCTATGATTTAACACTCCCAACATGAATGCATGGTTGAGAAATGATATAACATCTTTCAAGAAAATGGAAGATGAAAACCTTTATGAAGTTTGTGATTGATTTAATTTTTTTTGTGAAAATGTCTGATGCATGGTTTGCAACAGTGGACATACATGAAGATATTCTACAATGAAATTAACATGAAAACAAGGATGGTTGTATATGCTTCTATCAATGGAAAATTGTTGGACTAATCCTATAATGAAGCTTATGATATCTTAGAGAGGATTTTCAGCAATGACAACCAATAGCCCAATACAAGGATTATGTTAGGTAGACGCATTGCTATAGCAGTAGATAATGATGCTCTGGACAAATTGAACACAAATGTGACATCATTGACTAAATGATGAAGAAAATGCAAAATCATGGAGATTTGTATGAGGTAAAAGCTACATTTATTGTTAATTTTACTTATTTCGTTGATAACCATAATTTTGAAAATTGACTATAAAACCATAATTCTATTTAATTTTTGATAATTTACAACAAGAATGAAAATGCCAATGCTTATGGGAACACCTACAATATTAACTTCCAAAATCATCCTAACTTGTCTTAAATAAGTCATAATGTAGCCAACCCCAATATGATAGTTCAATCAAATTATGGGAATACACAATAGTATCAACCGAAACAGTAATATACTCAATAGCACCCGATGTCATAACATTAGTCACATTATCAGGCAGTGCAATAACAACAACACAACAATCAACAAAATTTTCAAGGGTAATCATCCAACTTAGCCTTAGCTTCAACATCAACATTGGTTGAGTCTCTACTGGAGGAGTACACCTCAAGAAATGAAGTTGTGATCCAAATTCAGTTAGTATCACTATGATCATTGGAGAATCAAGTTGGACAGTTGATTAATGCATTGAGCAATAGACCATAAAGAGCATTACCAAGTGACATTGAAGTTCCAAAAGTTCAAGGAAAAGCTCATTTCAATGAGCATTGCAAGGTTATCACAACACATATTATAATCTATATTTGAAAACCAAATGATGAAAACAAAAAGAAAGAGGGTGAGAAGCCTAAATAGCAAACAAAAAGTAAGGAGTTGAAATTAGAGATTGAGATACCCAGTGTAAATGCCATAATAAATAATGCATGATAGAGTAGTAATTATGGGAAATTTTCACTTGAGATGCCACTAACATTGTTGGTGTATCAGAATCCAAGACCTCCACCTCCATTCCCCCAAAGATTCCAAAAAAACCAAGAAGGACAAACAATTTAAGAAGTTTCTTGATGTGTTGTGATAATTGCTCATTAACATGCAATTGCTAGAAGTATTAGAGAAACCATCAAACTACAACAAATTTATGAAGGAGGTGCTTTACAAGAAACGTAAGAGTAGTGACTTTGAGATCATTGCACTTACTGAAGGTGTACCTCCATGTCCAGGAGTATATTTCCACCAAAGTTAGAAGATCCAGGGAGTTCTTTGGATTCTGATTTTAATAAGTTAACACTATATTATCTAATTTAAGATCAATTGAATGATGTAAGGATTGCAACAACAACATTTTGAGCGTTGAAAAAGGAAATTGAAATTCTGATTTGGTTTAATGATACTACTCTGTAGAATTATTTTTAACTTTAATTGCATTTAATACAGGTTGTTACTTGAGAAGAAGCAAACACTTAGGATTAGGGTGTAATGACACTAAAAAAAGTTATCATATATGTTTTTTTTACCTATGATGTATCTAAAGCATTATTATAAGCATATTAGGAACATTAGTACATATTTTTATACATATTGCATCATAAGAGCTGGTTGGGTAATTTTGGGCTAAATGCGATATTTATTGTTGAATTCTAGTATGCTGATGCTTTGCCATTACTCCATGCTATAAATTTTGTTGTGAAGAGATGATGGCTTGATGTTATGTATAGTGGGCAACACTTACTGATGTCACAAGAAATTATTTAATTTTTTTAGAATAGGACAACTGGTTGGGTTGCTGTTAATTGGTTGCATTTCACTCAACACATGGAGAAATTTTATTGGGAGGGTGAGTTAAGAACCCCAAGTAGGCAACTCATATACCAGTAGATCTATCTCAGTTGGTGGTAGGGAGGGCCAGAGGTTTACATGAGTAGAGGATAATGTTGTTATTTGTCACTCCAGTTGAGATAAGGGTCAGATATAGAGTCTTGTAGAAGACAATCAACTTTATCATCTATGGTGAGTTATGAAGACTCTGATAG